TCGCGACTCGGTTTGGCAGTTAGAATCACAACTGGTGGTTTGGCACAGATTGCAGCGAAGGAATTCTGTTGCTCAACAGGCATCCCTGCAGCCACAGACCTTGCCTTGGCTCCGTTGACTACTTTATTAAACTCCTCCGTAGAGGGAAAAACACTTGGAGTAATTGGCATATCAAGAACCAAATCGGTTTGCTCTTTAGTCCTCATCTCACTACATGAACTTTCAGCAATCACCAAATCCAGCTTACTTCCTTCCATCTCTGCATCAGTTACAACTGCTTTGCCTTTCGTATCATCCCCTTCCTACATCAACACAATAGCACTCTTCTCCTTGATTCTCCATACCTGTTTCGTTTTCCCCCAGATGGAACGAGAGCAATCATGCCAAAACTTCACACAGGACTTACATATCAGAGGAACCCTACAATATTCGGAAAAAATTCCAAAGTACACTAGTTCTTAAAAAAATTCCCAAAATACACAAGTTATAAAAAAATTTCCAAAAGCACACATGTTTCACATTCACTGTTTTTGAAAAACGCAGTGAACATAATTACCGTGTTTGACAAACACGATGAACATTTCACCGTTTTTAATTAAAACGATGACGTGTTCACCGTCTTTGTTTAAAGCGGTGAAGTGTTCACCGCGTTTAACAAAAACGGTGAAGACATCACCGTTTAAAATAAAAGCGGTGAACACGTCACCGTTTTAGGGCAAAGCGGGGAACATCTTCACCGCCCTAGGTTAAGACGGTGATTGTTTCCCATGTTTCCCACCCCTGGTAGGTGAAAATTAGGTCACAACCACCTAATCTTCACCGTTTGAGACAAACGCGGTGATGTTGTTCAGCGTTTGTGACAAAACCGTAATCAGTCTGGCCGATTTTCTTTTATATACCACTCTCACCAGCAGTTGTAAAAACGTAATCCCTCTCCCTCTTCAAATTTCACCAACCAAAACCGAGCAACATACATAGAACATGAATTTTCGTATTGTAGCCTAATGGTTGTTTTTAGTAGTTATATTGTTATGTTATGAATTACTAATCGTAGCAAATATGGCCGATGTTATGAATTACTGGAATTAAGCTAATAGTTACTTATTGTAAATTGTAGATATGGGTAAATTCAAGAAGTTTCAGCTTATTATTCGGTGGAATGGAAGGGTTACAAACTCTGACATAGGGATTGATTATGAGGACGGTGTATCCACTATGCTGAAAATTGAGTCGCGATTCAATTTTCAAGAACTCTGTGATATTTGTGCAGATAGGGTTTGTACGAGCGGACAGACGAGAGTTGGTAAAATTAGTTTCCGGTATCCAGACATGAGTACTGGCGGGCTTGTGTACCAAGAATTTGTCATAAACGATGATGACACGGTTACGATGATGTTACAGTTCCTAAGCGATAACGGGATGCGGCAAGTAGAGGTGTATGTTGAGACCGAGGCGGTCGGTGAAACTCATTCTCACCAGTATTCTTATGATGATGGTTTTGCAGGAGGGTACGGATGGGGTGGTAGTTCGAGCAACTACGAAGGAGGTGGTTATACAGGAGGTTATGGAGAGGGTGGTAGTTCAAGCAACTACAGTGGAGGTAGTAGTGCAAGATGGGTGCCATCGGAAGAATACTCGCAACATGATCAACCTGCCGATGGCGTTCAATGGCCTGCTTGGGGGCTTGAGTGGGCTGAAATCGAGAATACCATTCGAGCAGGGCGTACTTCACAAGAGCGAGAAGACGATGTTGGTGATGGTGGTCATGTTGATCCTTCTGGGCCGAGCTATCCATTCGACTCGAGCGACGATGATACTGAGGAAGATTTGAGATCAGTGAGCGAGGAGGAAGATACTGATGATAACGACGACGAGGCGGTATTTCGTGAGGCACCGACGCCATACTACACACAAGTTCCAACTCAATTTTTACATAGTCAGAATGATGCCCCCGACTTTGTCCCTATGCCATGTATAATCCGACGGCCAATTTGGAGGTGGGTATGGCGTTCTCATCGAAGGATGCTGTGCAGGATGCCTTTACCGAAGAGGCCTTGAGGTGCAATTTCGAGGGGAAGGTAAAATATTCTAACAGTAAACAACTACATGTCATATGCAAGAATTATGCAGAGGGCTGTACGTGGCAACTGCGGGATGCAAATATGAAGAGAAAGGGTGCCTGGGTGATTTGAAAAGCTGAGACCAACCACACTTGCTCCTCGTCCATACGTTCCCAGGATCACATGCAACTTAAAGCAAAGAAAGTTGGGAGAACTATTAAGCACCTTATCGAAGCACAACCAGATATCAATGTCAAAGCTATCATGGCCGAGGTGAAGGATCGACATTCTTACACGATAAGGTACAAAAAAGCATGGCATAGAAAGCAGAAAGCCATGGCTGAGGTGTATGGTGATTGGGAGGATTCGTATGCTTTACTCCCTAGATTTATGGCCACAATGGAGGAGTCCAACCGTGGGACTGTTTTCGTGCCAATATACAACAATGTATACACTGAGGATCAAGTTCGAGTACAAGAGAAGTTGATGTTTCACCGTCTTTTTTGGGCTTTCAAACCATGCATTGACGGGTAGAGATGGCAACGGGTCGGATCGGGGCCGGATACTAGATATCCGATCCCCGCCCGGATAAAGTTCGGGTAATCCCCGTACCCGCCCGAACCACAAGAACGGATAGTGAACTTCATACCATGTCCATCCCCGAATGGATACCGGGTAATACCCGATCTCCGAAAATACCCGACTTAATTGATAAAGACATATTAATAAAGCATAACCATGAAACAAAAGTTGACAATTAATTAATTCGGGGAATAAATGAAAATAGCAAATTGATGAACCATGAAATAACAATCCACGATTCATCCAAAACTCTCCAAAACCAAATAGTTTTCTTCTCCCACAAGGTAAAGCCAATGTTGGTATTGCATATTGTTCCAACGCAACACTTGATAAAGAAAAACATAAAAGAACTCTAAATAAAAACTCCAAATTGCTGCAACATCTTCATGAATCATGACATCAGCAACTCCTTGTGGGAAAACCAGCAAAAAAACCAATCCTTAGCTCCATTCAAGCAACCAATCACCGCCAGCAACATCAGCAAGATAAACCACCAGTAAATCACCAGTCCTTAACTCCATAGTCCACCACTATCTAGAAGCATGCATAAACAATGAAGAACATTACTTAATAATTTCCAGCAACACCACACTAAAAAGAGCAGCAACCTTAAAATGAAACTAAATAAAGAACATTACTTACCAATAACAAGACACTGAGGAGGGAGGAGAGTAGCACCCCTTCTAATGTTAATCAATACTCATCCAAGTGACATGTTGATAAATTCTTGATCAATTGTTGTTCTACAAAGATAAACGAAAACAGAGGTTAGAGCAGTCAACAAGATAACAAAATAAGAGATAATTGAAGATTAATCCAAAAAAAGAAATAAAAACAAACAATAACCTTCATCTTCATTCTCAGGTTCTATGTTCGGATTAAGAATTGAAGATTGATCCTCCAAATGAGTAGCATTAGAATCTGATGTATAAGCAAATAAATAAAAATCAGCAGCTTGTAATATAAAAAGAGTTACAGGAAAGCATGATAAGAATAGTTTTACCTATCATAAATGAATTTTGGAGCCAACTCCTTGTGCACATTAATACCTCAACAGTTACATAGTCAAGTCTACTACGATGAGGGTCCAATAATCGACCTCCAGCACTGAAGGCTGATTCAGAAGCAACAGATGTAACAGGTACAGCAAGTACATCTCTTGCAATCTCTTGCAAGATGGGATACTTAATCCCATTAAATTTCCACCATAGTAAGATATCAAAATCTGCAGACCGAGGAAGGATTTCCTCATTCAAATAATTCTCCAATTCGGTTTGGCTTGGTGTTGCCCTTGATCTTTTCCTCTGTTTAACATACATATCAAAGTCCAAATCTGTACTAGAAGCATCACATGATGGCTGGCCACCAGTACCAGCAGCAGAGAAAGAAGACTTTCCATTTTGTTTGGACTGATATTCCAATAGCAGATCACCCAAAATCTCCTTTATTTTCTTCACATCCAACACACACTCATCATCCCCAAACTTCTCAGCATAGTACTCCACGATCTGAATTTTGTATCTAGGATCCAACACAATAGCAACTGCCAAAATTTCATGAATGGCACCCCAATACTTGATGAACTTATCCCACATTTTTTCGGCCATCTTAGAAATCACAGGATCAGGATCACAAAGCCATTCAGAAAGTTTAAGCTTCACATCACAAATTTTAGTGAAGAACACATTGGCAGTTGGAAATTTGGATCCAGAGAATAAATCTGATATGTGGCTAAAAACTTGCAACTTTTCACAAACCATGGAAGCAAACTCCCAATGAGAAGATGTAGGCAAAGAACAATATTGAGAATCACGTTGTTTCAACCTAGCAAACAACTCCTTGTATGGTATAGCAGCAGCAAGCATGGAATAAGTTGAATTCCAACGAGTAGGGCAATCTAAAATCAGTTTTTTATATGGAGGACACTTTCCATTCATTTGCTTTGCTGTCTCTTTATAAAACTCAATTCTCTTGGGAGTGGCAGACCAATAAGCAACACTTTCACGAATCTTTTCAATTCCATCTTTCACCACATCCAAGCCATCTTTCACAATTAAGTTTAATATATGGGCAGAACACCTCATATGAAGCAAATCACCATCCCTCAACAAGTAAGACGATACCAATTTCCCCTTAACCTTCTCAATCATAGCATCATTCGTGCTACAATTATCCAAAGTTATAGTAGATACCTTAGTGTCCACGTTCCATCTCATCATGCACTCGGTCAGATAATAGGCCAATCTATCACTTGTGTGTGGGGTTGGAACATACAAGAAGCTGCAAACCAGAAGAAACTTGGGTTAGTTGAATGATCCCATTACCCAAATACAAACAAAAGAAGACAAAAATTAAAGATTACACATCATACCTTAGAATGTGACTTCGAAGAGCCCATGAATTGTCAATGTAATGAGCTGTAACAGCCATATAACCTTTTCTCTGGTTGCTTGCTGTCCACATATCAGTGGTGAGGGCAATTCTTCCCTTATTATTGTCAATAAACTTCTGAATCCTGCTCTTCTCAGAAGTATAGATCTTAAAAATATCCTTCTTAATAGTATTCCTTGATGGAACACTAAACAAAGGTTGAAGAGAGCACACAAAGCGTTTGAAATACATATGATCCACCATTGATAAAGGATACTCATGCATAACAAGGGCAACAGCAAGCTCATTCCTAGAAACTTCGTCATCAAATTGACTTGCTACCATTTCCCTTTTCCCCTTCGCAACAAAATTAGGGCCAAGTACTTTTTGTTTTCCTTCTAGAATCCTCCTCTGCATACAAGTCTTAACATGACTTTTCAAGTGAGATGTGCCATTCCCAGATTCACCACCAAGCAACTTCTTGCAATAGTTACACTTAGCTTTGATTGCACCCTTAACTCTTACTTTCGTAAAGTGTTGCCACACTACACTTTTAAGACGTCCCAACTGAATTACCTCTTCATCAGGAGTTGTTTCAATTTCATTGAGATTCACAGATGGTTGTGCTTGAATACCTTGTTGATGGTTAGTAGTCCGTTGTGTTGAACCAGGACCAACAATCACAGCTTCTTCACTTCCTGGTTCAGGAGCTACAGGCAACTGTTGAGAAGCGGCAGCATTGTTTTGGGCCATATTAACCTGCAATAAGTAGACGAAATTGAATTGTACTTAATCAAAACCCAGATAACTCATGAAGAACAATCATCAATCTTTTCTCGTCAATGCCCAATAAATGGATAGATTAATACAAATAAAATCCGAAAATTTGAGACTCAATACAACATAATGAGAAAGAAGATTAGAAGAAGTCTGACCTTAGAGGATGAAAGTTGTTTAGGTTGAGGCTGGGTTTGCAATTCTCTCTTTTGCAGGGATTGCTTTTTTTTAGATCATGAGAATCGCTGAATTAGAATTAGGATTTTGAGCCATCATCAGCTATATATATAGCCAGCGGCAGCAGAGCAAGTGCTAGCTGTTTCTCATCCATTGAAGAGTTTTATCGATTCTCTAACTGCCTCATCGGAACTTAGCAGTAAAAGCTTGGAAAAGAAAATTATAATTAAAGGGTAAGGAGTAGCAGAGTATATGGATGGGTACTGGAAGATGGAAATCGCATGCTCTAGGTAATTAATGGAAAAGAGAAGATGAGAGGCCATTGATTTTTCCAAGCATCACGATTCACAGAGTGTTTATTAGGGTAAGCGGCGCATGCTTGGTGGAGTAAAGGTTTAGAGGAAGACAGGTCTCGAGAAGGATTCGGGCACGGGTTCGGGGCGGATAGTATGAAATCCGTCCCCTACCCATCCCCGATAATTAATGTTTCGGGTATTATCCATCCCCTACCCGGATCCAGTCAACACGGATTTTACCCGTTTTGACCGGTTCGGGTTTGGGCGGGCAACCGGATCCATGGATTTTCCTGCCATCCCTATTGACGGGTTTGCGTTCTGTATACCAGTTATTCATGTATTTTAATAACGGTTTACTATTTGAAATGTTTGTATTCTTTCCTGCTAAGTAAATTTCATACTAATTTCTTCCTAATTTTTAATTAGGTTGATGGAACTTTCCTTATTGGGAAGTACAGAGGAACTCTTCTCATTGCCACTGGCGTTGATGGAAATAGGGATTTTCCCGCTTGCATTTGCATTAGTGGAAGGGGAGAACAGCTTAAGTTGGGCATGGTTCTTTGACCAACTACACGAACATGTGACACAACGGGAGGGTATTACGATTATATCCGATCGACACGCGGGGGATTAGGAATGCCGTGGGTGGTTTTCCTGACGAGTGGGGATGGACATGGCGCTGGTGTATTCGACACTGGCTCGCCAATTTCCAACACAAATTTGGGAAGAAGAAAGACATCAAAAATCAATTGTGGCATGTAGGTACCAATGTCCTTTAATGCGAGTTAACTATGTATTTAATAATTTGTTATTTATCATGTATTGACCAGTTTGATTTTGTTCACCTTGCAGCGGTTGCACATCAGCCAAAAAAGTACGAGCAGAAGATGAAGACGATCCGTCAGACCCACCGAGCTGGAGCAGTATGGGCTGAAGATCAAGACTTGGCCATGTGGACATTCCATATGGACAATGGGGCCAGATGGGGCATTGCACCAACCATGGAGAAAGTATAAATAATGTGTACAAGGGCCTTCGAGCGATGCTTATTTCTTTCATAGTGGAGATGTCATATTGCAAGGTCAACGAGTGGCGGGTGGCTCGGCTGCAGCTAGCGATAGGGAGAGAGATATCTGGTCATCCGATAGCACATGACGTCTTTGAGCAAATGCAGAAGAACGAAGAAAAATCAAGTAAGCATAAAGTTGTTCTTTTCGATCGTAGTGAAGGGATATTTGCAGCGGAAACAGGTGTATGGAGTGGAGGTAGACGTGGCCAAAATCGTCAAACGGTTACTCTGCACCCATGTCCCTCTATTATCTCAAATGTTGATGTAGAACTGATGCTTTAGAAGCCAATTCTTTGCCGCGTGTCGGAGGTCGATGGCATGGAACTCCTTGAAACCTTGAGGCGGGGTTTGTGGAATTGGTTGCTCCATTCGATATTGCCTCAAGGATCGATCGGGTGGTGCCACTCCACGATGTGCCAGCAGATCAATGGCACCTTGCACAACCACGTCTCGTGATCCTGGGGGTGTCTGAGATGATGCAGCTCGACTACTTCACGTGGATATGGATCCCATGTAACCTATACTCATTCAAAATTTGCAATTAGTGACCATTTACATTGAAAGAATCTAAATTGTTAAAATATGATAATGCATGATTACCTGGTTCCACCAAGGCTTATCTAACTCAGAACGATAAAACAGTAAAGAGTGCTCAGGTTGATGGTCATTTGTATTTGCTCCTATCCACCTTGTAAGTAAAAGAACAGAATAAATTTAATTGAAATATAGCTAAGCATGGAATAAATTTAAATTAGGCTAAGTACGGAATTTTAACTGAAATATAGCTAAGCATGGAATAAATTTAAATTAGGCTAAGTACAGAATAAATTTAATTGAAATATAGCTAAGCATGGAATAAATTTAAATTAGGCTAAGTACGAAATAAACTTAATTTGAATATAGCTAAGCATGAAATAAATTTAAATTAGGCTAAGTACAGAATAAACTTACTTGACACCGTAGGAGGGATTTTGCACAAAGTGTAGCTCATCATCTGCTCTCCGGTATGGACGTGGGTCTTGAGGTGCGAACATTGGAAGATGGTCCCATACCTAGAGCTGGAGGATGAACATCGCAGCACCAGCTTGTTTCGCTCCCAACTTCGAACAAGTACATAGCTCCCGAGTCCCGATATACGCCAGCTAACACCACCGATCCCCAACTCTTTTCCCCTATTTCGTCCCAATCACCAAGGAGCAATGACAACCATATGCCTTGAATCCACCGGCTTGACTTGTCGGGGAACAAAAATCCACCGACCAAACCAATGAGGTAGATGCGTGCATAGCGCTCCACTTTATCTTCCGGTGTCTCGTTGTCGATGGTCACCTCATTTTGGATGTGAGTAACGAGCCACGGGACCGGCACTTGTCCCGCATTCAATGGTGGATGCCCCCGTCCTTGAATTGGTGTGGTGGTCAGCATGTCAAAGCCCAAAGGATCACGAATGAGCGGGCCCCAACCTCCTTCGGGTTTGGTAGTGCTCCCAATGATGGCCTCTCCAGAAATCGGCAGCCTGGTGAGGATCGCGACGTCTTTGAGGGTGATCGTCATTTCCCCCTCCGAAAGGTGGAACGTATGGGTTTCGGGGCGCCATCGCTCCGCCATTGCCGTAAGCAGATCGTTGTCGATTTCGATCCACATGAAATGCCTTAGCATACCCAACCCGATCCTCTCTATATAGGGCGCAAACCGATCATGCCAATCGGGCAAGTTTGTGGTCCCTTTATGAACGACGAGAATAAGTGATTCCTACAAAAAAATAGGAAAAACATCAATTTGTTAGTTTAAAGAAAGCAAAATAATACCTTAGAAAATAATAAAATAAAACAAGATAAATCATCAATTTACCGGATTGTTATCCCAAATAGCACGGGAGCGATGTGCTTGTTGATCGGTTAAATACCTCGTATCTTTTGGGCCATAATGGATATACAATCGAGGATCGTATATCTCGGCACCCATCTGTAAAAAAAAGTAATGAAATCAGATTGTTTTGATTAAAAAAATCACAAAATCAAATTGTTTTGATTAAAAAAAATCACAAAAGAAAAACAAAAAACCTACCCGAAGAGCCTCTTCGTCCATATTTTGGCGGAAGCCGGACAGAGGTTCGACGGGTTTATAAGGAACGAGGGCTTTAGGGTATAACTCTAGTAATTCTTTCTGATGTGGAAGATCGGACTTAGACGCAACCACAGAGCATACTTAGAACGAGACTAGAGTGGATAGATTGAGGGAGAAAGAAGTGTAAATGTGGTGGTGTGATTTGGAAGAGGGGGGAAGGGTTCTATTTATAGTGAGGGAGGGGAGGGATCTGCGCAAAATTACTAGGGGGACATCACCGCCTTTGACAAAGACGGTGAATTCACCGCCTTTATCGAGAACGGTGATTGACGAGGATCGAGTGACGTGGCGTGCTGTGAGGCGTCGGATCTGGGAGGAAAACCACGATCCGCGCTTCACCGCATCTGACGGCTGCGGTGAGTGGACCCGCGATGCGGATCGCTGACGTGGACAAACACGGTGCATTCACCGTGTTTGTCTAAAATGGCGAATGCACCTCGTTTGTCCACGTCAGCGATCCGCGTCGCATTCATCGTGGACGTAAAGAACGAGGAGAACTTCACCGCGTTTAATTAAAACGGTGATGTTTTTACCGTTTTTGTTAAAGCGGTGAATGGCTCACTCGTTACTCAATGTTTTAAACAAAGACGGTGAACACGTCATCGTTTTATTCAAAAATGGTGAAATGTTCACCGTGTTTGTCAAACGCGGTGATTGTATTCACTGCGTTTGTCAAAAACGGTGAATGTAAAACATGTGTACTTTTGGAATTTTTTTTATAACTTATGTATTTTGGAAATTTTTTTAAGAACTTATGTACTTTGGGATTTTTTCCACAATATTCCACCGACAGAAACATTTCCTCCAAGTCATCTGGAGCGAAACTGATATGATCAACCAGTGGGGAGGATGCCGATAGATCCACACAGACTAACACGGAACCCACCTTATCCCCCTTTCGAGTTGGTAAATCAGCACATAAAGGTTTACCTAAGGTACTCATCAGTCTACCCAGACCTTCTCTCGAAGTCAATTCCGCTGGAAGACCCGAAAGCCTGATCCAGATCGGAATTGCAGAATTGTCAATCTTCAAGGTGTGAGCTGGAAGAGAAGGGGGGATAACCTAGTGTGAGAAACTTCTTCTTCTTCCTTAGATTTCTAGAGAGAGAAATCTACGTAGGTTGAGGGAAATTCCTATCTTGCTAAGAGGCTTGTAAAAGCTGGAATTCCTTGGTCAAACTATGTCACCTACTTAGGTTGAATTACGACAACCTCAAACTATGTACTAGTACCTCAGGTAGGTCGTATTTAGGTCGTCCGCACTACGGTTCGAGAGAGAAGCCATAAGCAACCCTTATTCGAATGGC